CTGCAGTACTTGGAGGATCATGGGACATAGTAAGTATGGTTATAAGTCCCCTAATTGGGGTTATAAGTATAGTTACCTTAGTTATAACCCTACTTACTAAGTCCCATGATCCTGTAAGTAGGGTTTAGAAGACTAGGTTCGTGTAATTTGCTGGCATCTACAAGGGTTCGACTATAGGCCTCTTTTGAGGGTTTTGTACCGGCGCCTCAATAATCAGAATAGGGGCTGTAGGATATGTTCCATAATAATTTGACTAGCGTTCCAAGGAACAGTATAGGCAATTATTCAAGCTTCTACATTAGGTTTGCTTTAGGGGTTCTTTGAAGAGTTCTTTAGGGGTTCCATTCAAGGTGCTTAAACCACTAAACCCTGCACCGTTCTGAGCATTTTGTTGTTTGAGGATCTTTACGGGTGTTTTCGAGCTGGGCCTTGCGACACCGAAAGCCTTGCTTTCAGAGGACTTAAGTTTTTATGGTCTACGGAATCTATGGTTGAAGCGCTTAAACACCTGCAGTGGCAGCCTTACAACCCCGAAACCGTCAAACCCCTAGGTTAAACCCCGAACCCTCAAAGCCCCCTTGTTCAAACAAAAACATGCACATATGTGCATAGACAGTTCTGTACAGTTCTCGAAGACAAGTTATCTGGCTCATAATATACATATATGTATATATATATATACACACATACATACATATGACATATATGTTTATATCTATATCTACATTTATTTGTTTATGCTTATACATGTATATATATATATATAACATGCATATGTCTATTTATAGAAACATAAAGACCAGTGAGAGCTTTCTTGCACCAACGCCGGGCCTCGGCGCTTCCGCTGTCGCCTCGTGGGCTCTTGGAAGGCTGGAACAAGGGGCCCCGAATGTGGGCCCGTATCCCTGGGATCCTTACATTCCTACTAGATGTCCTATATTTAGGGTTTAGGGTTTAGGGTTTGGGGTTTAGGGGGTTAGGGGTTTAGGGTTTAGGGTTTAGGGGTTTAGGGCTGGGTAGTTTAGGGGTTTAGGGGTTTAGGGTTTAGGGTTTAGGGTTAAGGGTTAAGGGTTTAAGGTTTAGGGTTTACTGTACCCTTTAAAGCTTCCTACAAGGGGGGTAGGTTCTGGGTACGTGCCTGTATTCCCCCATCAAAGGCACACTGGAGACCCTGGCCTGGCCCTTAAAGCCCTTAAACCCGAAAGCCCTAAACCCTGACCCTACGGTTTAGGGTTGAGGGTTTAGGGTTTAGGTTTAGGGTTCAGGGTTCTCAAAAGCCCAGCCCTCAGAGCCCTTCCATTAAACCCCCCAAAACCCCAAAACTCGAGGCCCTAAATCCCTTAAACCCAGAAGCCCTTAAAGCGCTGGAGCCCGAAACTCTGGGCCACAAACCCCTAAACCCTAAACCCCTAAACCCTAAACCCTAAACCCCTAAACCCCTAAACCCCTAAACCCCTAAACCCCTAAACCCCTAAACCCCTGAAGCCCTAAACCCTTAACCC